TGGTCTACCCCAAACCCCCAGTAGCCTGGCCACAAAGTCATGCTACTTCTATGTGTGAACATGCAATAAAAAAAAATTCCCATAGGAAACAAAACACGTAGGAAACAACTTTGCAGTGTTGTAAGATTTATTGTTCCTCCTTGATATGATATTGTTCATGTTAGTTTTCATATTAATCTGATAGATGTCTTCCTGATTTGAAGGAAAATACAAGGACATTTGTTTAGGATGAAAACATTAATCAGAGACTCATTGTTTGAATTGTTTGATGCTGAGTGTGTTTCCTTTCCTTTGTTAGTCATGGAATCCCTCAAATGTGTGAGCATGAAATACAGCAACATGAATGATTTCACATCATAGGTGACTGACCAGGACATTGGAATCACAGTGTGTGTTTAATTTTTTGGGGCCTTCTTTTTTTTGTATTTTGTTTGTCATCCCTGTGCTGGACATTACTCAACACTGAAAATGGAAAAACAAATATAAATACAAAATATAAATAAATACAACCCTGTTTCCAAAAAGTTAGGACATGATGCAAAATGTAAATACGAACAGAATGAAATGATGAGCAAATCATTTAAAGCTTAGAATAATTGAAAATAGTACAAAGACTTCATCTTACATTTTGAAATTTAATTGTTTTTTTTTAAAATATATGCTCATTTTGAATTTGATGCCAGCAACACGCTTCAAAATAATTGGGACAGGGGCATGTTTACCTTTCTGTTGCATCAACTCTTCTTTTAACAACACTCTGTAAGTGTTTGGGAACTAAGAAGACCAATTCCTATAGTTTTTTAAAATTAAATATTTTCCCATTTTTGATTGATATATGATTTCAGCTGCTCAACAGTTTGTGGTCTCCTTTCTCATATTTTTTGTTTCATAATGCACCAGATGTTTTCAATGGATGGCCGGTCTGGACTGCAGGCAGGCCAGTTTAGCACACACCTTTTTCCTATGAGGTCATGCTGTAGTAATACATGCAGAATATGGTTTGATATCGTCTTGCTAAAATAAGCAAGGCCTTCCCTGAAGAAGACGTTGTCTGGATGGCAACATATGTTGGTCCAATACCTGTAGATATTGTTCAGCGTTAATGGTGCCTTCACAGATGTGCAAGTCACCCATGCTATGTGTACTAATGCATCCCCATACCATCACGATTGCTGGCTTTTAAACTGTAAGCTAATAACAAGCAGGGTGGTCTCTCTCCTCTTCAGCCCGGAGGACGCGGCGCACATGATTTCCAAAAGGAATTGCAAATTTTGATTTGTCAGACCAGAGGACACTTTTCCACTTCGCCACGGAACATCTTAAATGGGCTCAGGCCCAGAGAAGGTGGTGGCGTTTCTGGACCGTAGACAATGAAATCCTTCTTCAAGTTCTTCAAGTTATTTTACATAGAGAAACATTACTTGCCCATGCAGTGTTTCACAGAGTGGTGAATCCCTCCCCAGTTTTACTTCTAAAAGCCTCTCTGGTATGCTCTCTTCATACCCACTCATGTTGACCTGTTGCCAATTAATCTATTTAGTTGTGAGATGTTCCACCAGGTCTTTTTTATTAGTCTTTTTTTGCCCCGTCCCAATTTTTTTTGAAATGTGTTACTGGCATCAAATTCAAAATATAAAATGGACATCTATTTTTCAAAAAATAATAACATTTCTCAGTTATTTATTTTTTCAAGAGATATTTCAGAGGACGTTGCATACATGATAATCCACATGCATATGGAAGGGGAAAGTCAAAGAAAAGTAAGTGAAAAAACAGGAGTTTCCAAAACTGAAATTTAAAAAGTTATTAAAATTTCTAGAAAAAAACTCCTAACAACCATGAAAGACCTGGTTGAATTGTCACCATAAACAGTATTTAAAGCTTTTATCTTTGAGAGAAAGAACAAAATCAAGCTCCACTCTTGATTCAAATCTCCACAGATGTTTCTGTCCATCCTTCCACTGTGAGAAGACAACACAGCACTATGAGTCTGAAAGGATGTGTAGCTGTCAAGAAATTGTTACTGAGAAAAGAACATAGACAAAGAAGCTGCTGATGTTCTCAGAACAATGGACCTGGCATCCCCCAGGGTCCAGACCTCAACATCACTGAATGTGTTTGAGATTACTTGGACTGTGAAAATCAGAAAATGCAACCAGCTTCTAAGACTGAACTTTGGAAGTGTGGAAAAATAGCAGATTTTTTGGAAATCTGAAAGCAGGTCTCCTGAAAAGAATGGAAGCTGTAATAAAGGCAAAGCGTGGACATACTGAATACTGTAAAAATGTACACTTTAATTAGTTGCTGTGGTTTATGTTCAATTTTCTGTAAAGTAAATCTTTTCTACTTTCTACTATATTTCTTCAAAAATGTATGTGCAATTAAATATGGGAGTGGTGTGATGAAGCTGTGTATGATATCATTTGTGAGCTTTGCTACCCTCTAGTGGCCATTTCTGTACATGTACATTAGAAAGTGTTAAAAGAATTTCTGTGATCGAAGAGAACCCATGCTCAGCACCCACTTCGAGTGAGAAGAAGGTGGGGGAATATTTGTATCAATATTTAGTCACTACTCCACGCTGTACAATGGAAAGATCAAATACAGAATCCACCCTACAATGTAATAAAACAGACCACAGGGTGTGTTTTGCAAAGTGGCACAGTACGAAGTGCTGATTAAAGTGTGGAGAGGTTATGAATGCGAATACGTTGTCTGGAATAAACAGATAATGTGTTCCAAACAGATTCAGATACAGTTCCAGATATATGGTCCACAAGCTGGTCTGAAAGTTTTGATCTGTGGATAACAACTTGCGACTTGTTTGCTCTTTAGACTCGTGCCACAACACAAAAGACCACAAGAGACTAGGCAAACTCTGCTTGCTCTGCTTGTGTACTACCTCTGTCTTGTCAGTCCTTTTCTCTGTATTGCTACCTAGGCCTAAAGACTTATTTATCCATTGGTTTTATACAAACTGGCCAGAAATTCACAAAATAGGTTACGTTGATTTAGCAGAAATTTATTATTAAAGTTTTTAATAAGTTCACTGTTTTGTTGTTTAATGTTGTGCTAATTTATAGGCCACATACACAAATATTATCTAGGTTGCTAGCTCAAGTAGCTTTCAGAAATTAGCTTACTTGAGCTAGCAACCTAGCTAATGTTTGTGTATGTGGCCTATAAATTAGTACAATAATGGCTAGATTGCTAGCTCAAGTGAGCTAATTTCTGAAAGAAATGTGTTTCATTCACTGGTTTAATGAACCTTCTGAGTTGCCAGTTTATTAGGTGCACCTATCTAGCAGCATGTGCCTCCTTTTGTCTACAGAACCGCAAGAATTCACCTAGATATGGATTCGAAAAATGCTGTGTTGTCCACAGGTGTTGTATCATGTGGAATAGTTTGTGCATTTGCTGCAAATTGGATGTTATGCTGTCTTGCAGGCACCTGAAGAAGTATTGCTGTCATACTCTGGAGCCATTCAGTGACAATACTTGCCTTGTGACATGGTGCATTAACGTGGAAGAAGTGTCCATCCAAGTGTGGACAGACTAGCCATGGAGTAATGAACTAGGTAGGAACCAGCTTTTAGATTTACTGTGCTTTTCAGAATGTTCTTCAGTGGGTATAAGGGGTCCCAATGTGTGCCAGTAAAACATTTCCCAAACCATCATATATGATGGAAGGTGGGGGGTGTGCCTAATAAACTTGCAACTTAGTGTAGAATGTCAGGTTAACTGAAAACTGTGACTTCCCAACAATGCTGCTGCTCTACACAGAACACACTCCTCCTCTTGTGAAGGGGGTTGTGGGAGGGTTTTAAACTGTAGAAGTTCAGGATGTTCTAATGAATGAAGTTGTTTTATACATCAAATTAAAGTGTTATGTTTTCTGAACAGATTAATAATCAAATGATCATTAGGATTCAACTTCAATCAATAGGAAATGTTGTTAGATTTTAAGGCTGACATAAAAACACAGAAAACTTTTCAAAAACTCTCAACAAATATATGGGCTAGAGAACACCTATGTTTTTATTTGATTTGAGATATATATACATATACACACATATACACATGTTGCAGTGTATGCTGGGGATTGTGGTGCAGTGCATTGCGAACAGGCTAATATTAATATCAATTAATATTAGAAAATGAAAATAATTTTGCGGGCCAGATAGCATCATGTTGCAGGCCTAATCTGGCTCTCGGGCCTTGGGTTTGGCGCATGGGTACTAACCCATAATTAGATCTTGCCACTTTGGCAACAAAAGTCCTGAGATGAACCCTTCAGGAAGTCGTTTGCTTTTTATAGATTGACTTAACCTTAAATAATACTATAGGTAAACAAATGTATGCTCAGATATAGGTACATATTTACATATGGTATCACTGAGGTATCCCCTAATGAAATTTTAAGGTGTACACATGTGTATTACACGTGTGAGGATCTTGTTTCAGCTGAAATAATGGCAGAATACAACTATAGTGCAAATGTGAAGTACTACAGAAATTGTGAACTACTGTAACCAATAAAGTGCATGTGCTATATATACATATATATATATATATATATATATATATGTCATTTTACATTGTCATTTTGCATATAACTGTATATAAAATGGAGCACATCTACTTATAGTTTATACCACGCCCCATCTCTGGTCCAAAGCCAAATACATGCAGATATTCTGAGCACTAAACAGATACAGATGAAGATAGAGATAATGCAGTTGCATTACTCCCCTTCTAAAGCTACACTGGAAGTCATAAAGTGTCATGGGGGCACACATGTTTAATTGCTGTTCTTTAAAGATGTATCTTTTCAATTGAATTATGTTAAAATTAAGTGAATATGGCCATTTAAGAGTGAAATATGTCAGCATATTTACTGTAACTGAACAAAACCCACAACGGTCAAAGCAGGAAATACATGAACTCAGAAGTAATGTGGCTAGTAAACAACATCCTGTATTAGAGCAAGGTTTCAGAGCAGCTGAGGTGGTCTCACTTTTAACTGCTTACCTTCATTGTCACCTCTCTCACAAAAGTCCATACAGTGAGCTACAGCTTGTGATCAGTTTATGTATTTTCCAGCTACAATTTATGAACATAAGAGTTTGAGAGGATATCAGAGCACATCAAGTGCGTTTACCATGCAAAGTAAAGCAATTATGCTTCGTAATGCTTGGAGAAGAGGATCCAGGAGAAGAATTCCCTGAAGAAATTCAAGAGATGTGTGAGAGATAAACTTTAACCAAACCCCTGTGATTACACTAGCAATTTGCTATGGGTAAAATATGTTGAAATCATTGTTTACCGTGTTAGAATTAAACATAATGTTTAGTTGTACAGTTAAGTTTAATTATATGTTCTGTATTTTCATCTGACTTGTTCTATGTGAAGATGCAGCAGAGTTTGTGAATTGAGCTGTGGCAAAGAGGAAAGGGAGGGGATAAGCAGACTAAATAAACACAACAACTGCTCTGTATTTATCTATTTCTACTAATGTGGTCTCCCAGGGCACGCACTGGGCCTCAGCTGCTTCTGAGAGTTTGTGTGTGAGCAAGTGAGAAACAGATAGAGAAAGCGCGAGAGAGGGGAAAGTCTTGAGAAGTTCACCTGCTGGCACTAAAATACTGGATTACAGCAAACACAGAAGATGTAAGTAGGAGATTGAATATTGTTTATTTTTTACTAGAATGGGTGTACTGAAATGAGAACCTAATATAATGTCATTACTGTCCAAAAAAAACAAAAACAAGGATCTCCAAAACGGTAGCTTTGTAGGAGAAGGCAGAAACAGTGTTAACTTTGAATGTATGTTAAAGTAAAGAGATTTTATTTCAAGTAATTTTGTTGGTCCATTCATTACAAAAACTACATGAAAGGATGGCTACCACTTTTAAATGATTTAGAAAAATAAATGGAGATACATTTGTTTTTGTTTTTTTGTCTTTTGGACAGTGACAATACACCGGTATTTGATCATCTGAGTGCATTTTTAGATGTTAATAGACGTTTCTAATGTTTTGTCAAAGGCCAAATGTCAAAAACATTAGAAGCTTTGAGATTTCTTATAGTCATTCAGTTATGGTATGTAAACAAAGAAAATTGTGTCAGTGTTACATAATTCATTTCAGAAGCATCCAAAGTAGATCTTAACTTGAATTTCAAATGAATCATATAATAAGTAGTAGTTTTATTTGAGATTTTCTTGTCCAAATGTCATTCTACACAAAGGCCTGGATTCTGTACTTCCATAACACATTTTTATTTCACCATATGTGTGAAGGAGCATTATAGAGCTAATACAAAATACATTTTCTAGCAATTACTGTTGTTTCCTTTTAATTATTGGTACAGTTTATGTGTATGTATGTTTTTTTTTTCTTTTGCTTTTTGCTTGTAACTGAATAGTACTTCAGGGCGCACTATCAATAATGGCCATATATTTTTGCGTTGACTGGTTTTTATCACGCCATTGGCATGTTTCAGGCTAGAAATTGCACACTGAAACCTGGGTCAAATGCAATTTTTGATTAGACTTTATCCACTTCCTCTGTGGTCCTTCCTGTAAAGTCATAGGCTATGAAAAAAGTCTTTACATGTCATTGGTTAAACTTGCATAACTTTCTGATCTATTCTGATCTACGCTCTGGTCTTTGGTTGGTTTGTGTTCCACTGTGAGCAGTTTTTAGTCTGACTGGTGCTTGTTCTCTTGTTTAGCCCTCATTATGCAAGTGGAGATGCTCATATGGAGTACAGAGCTGAGTTCTGCCAGTAGTGGAGACTGACATTTATGCATTAAAGATCGTGGACTGACAGGTACAGTTAATCTTCAGTATAATATACTGCATGTAGAATAGTAAGCCTAGGTCAGCATATAATAGTATCAGTGATGAATACGTTAACTGATAATTACTTCAAATAACCATAGCTTCTGGAGGATTTTGAAAGTGATGTAATTTATAGAGGAAATGTTCATTTTTCTCTCTGTCCTTCAAGAATGGGCTGTACTTGCAGTGGTCATAAGAACGACAAAGAAAAAGGACATATAAATAATAATTCAGCAGCCACCAACAAATCTTACGTACGTACTCCTAGTTACTACTTCAAAATATTAAATTCATTATATCATGGTGAGTTTTTGCTTGCAGTGCATGTATTCTGTTCATTAATCACTCGCCTTGCCTGCTTAAAAACCAAATGAATTTTAAAAAGTTGCTCTTTCCACATTTATTTTCAGCCAAGACAACAAAGACAGCGCGGCGCGGACTACGGTAATATCTTTCAGAGTGTTTCCGAGAAGTAAATGCTAGTGATGATTTTTGTCAGTGTAAATGTAAATGTTATTTTGGAGTGTGATCACAATGTTTGGCGCTACAAACCCTCACCATTCAAAGGACCCTTTTTAGTAATGCCAGGCAGCAGCTGAGTCACATGAACTGCATTATGGTCATTATATCACTGTTAGGTCCATTTTGGCCTGGAGGCCTGGAGTCTGTAGAGGCTTGTTCTAATTTGGAGGTGTTTGAAAGCATTGCTTATGTCAGTCACATTGTGTAACGTCGTTATTTTGCATGTTAGTATATTAATATGTCACTGTGCATTACATGCAATTGATGTTGGTTGCGAAAAGATGAAAAAACAAATGTGTTCATCTTCGCTTCTGCTTGGTTTTATTTTTAGACGAAGATATTGTCATCGCTCAACATGACTTCAAACCAACCAATGATAGCGACCTTCCATTTAAGAAAGGAGAGAAACTCAAGATCATTCAGGAGTGAGTATCTCAGATAGAAGACCTGCTGCATTTGTAGGCCTAATATATGTAGTTATGACTCCTTAAACCTTTAAGCCCTGTAATTACTTGTTAAATCTTATGTTTAATAACTGAATAATAAGCCAGGGTACTGGAGTAAAATAACAGAATGTATCTTTTAAGAGGGTTAAGGCTGGTATCTTAAAAAAAAAAAGCTCTATTGTTGCTCCGAAAAACTCCTTTTGTCTTTACAGTCTCTGGAAAGTGGTTTTGATCAATGAAAAAATAATGTATACAATACCACTCCAAACGTGACTAACTGTAACTTCTTATCGCATGTAAGAAATGGGGACTGGTGGCTGGCTAAATCTCTCCTCACTGGAGATGAGGGATACATACCATGTACATATGTGGCCCGAGCTCACACCCTGGAAGTGGAGAAGTAAGCTGCTGCTTTCTCTTAAAATTATTCACGTCCTGACCAAATAATTTTTACATATATAGCCATCCTGATTGTCCAAGATAAGAGTGTGGACCATAAGTTGAAACATTTTTTTCAATATCATCTTATATAAGAAATGCAAGTTTGCCAAGTTGGTTTCTTTTACTCTGGTGTTCAGATGGTTCTTCAAGGATTTGAGTCGCAGGGAGACGGAGCGTCTTCTTCTGGCTCCAGGGAACAAAATTGGTGCATTCCTTGTCAGAGAGAGTGAGACGACCCCGGGTGAGTACTGCTCTTTTGCTATCAACAGTCAATTGTACGTGGTATGATGTCATTGTAGACAGATACTTTAACAGCTAGGCCTCCGAAAGCTACAGTACCAGTTTGTGTTGCCGAATCACACTGACACATGGTTCTATAAAAAGACTGCTTTTTAAAGAAAACTTTTAAGCTGATGTAGACCGTCCTCAGCTTATGTGTTCATTTTTAACACATTGTTTCAAAGCACCACCATGCTTCAATTTGGCCTTGATTATTAGCCCCTTAAAAATCTCAGGCTTACTACATACTAAAGCTTATTATTCATTAACTACATGGACTACAGTGCAAACTTGTTGAGCTGTTCTTAGGTTATAAGACCTGTTTAATGTGTGTAATAAAACATTAGGCCTGCTGGTGGGCCCTGGCCATTTAAGGGGTTAAAGTGAAACTCTGAACAAATAGTTAGTAGGGAAAATCTGTTATGCAACACAAATATGCTGCTCAATTAAATAAACAGATGACTAAATGTTTTCAGTCAATTCACTACAAAACTGATGCCACTGTAAATGTACAATGCTCAGCACGTGATGAAGCTTCCTAAAAGAGCTCTTGCCCACAGGTGCTTTCTCCCTATCCGTAAGAGACACTGCTGGAGAGCAAGGTGACGTGGTCAAGCACTATAAGATTCGTGCCCTGGACAAAGGCGGCTATTATATCTCTCCCTCTCTGACTTTCCCCTCCCTGCAGGAACTGGTGCAGTACTACTCAAGTGAGTAAAATGAAATCTGTCACGCAAAAGATGTTTAATTGTTGTCAAAAATGCACTTTAAAAGCAAAGGTTCTTAAATAGGCCGTTCTAGGAACACTATTATTTTTAAGAGTGTACAGCGGCAAACCACACTGTAAAAATGGTTTGTCAGTTTAACCTTAAAAAAATTTCATGTGGTAACAAGCATTTGAACTAGTTTTATTCAACACACACAAAAATACTTTGATTGAAACATTGTTAGCATTAGGCTAACAGCAATTTACATGAATATTTTTTGGCACTACTAGATTAAACACAGACATTTGAAGTTTGTAAAAGACATTCCATGTTTAATTTGAAGCTCTCATACTCATAGTCAGTGATGTATCTAGGACTTCCAGAAGGTCTAGATTGATTTTTTTTTTCACAAAGTTGGTTTCTATTCAGCTCCTGAAGGCCTATCCAATGGCGAGCTAGCTTGTCTGTATCTACCTTGATACCACAGAGAAATTAAATCCTGATTGGATTATTTTCCATTGTCCATTTCAAGAATTTAACCATTTTGTTTTCAAAACGAAACAATGAAAAAAGAGTGCAACTACAATACTTTAAATACAACAAGCCTATTGATGATATTAAATAAAGATTTGTTAATTTTAATATATATACATATTTTTTATCGATGCATTAGGCCTTCTTTGAAGGCTTAGAAAGCCCTCAAGGTCCCCCCTGAATATTATGCTGTTCTGCTGCTAAATATATATATATATTTTTTTTTCATTTTCCAAACCTTTTCTTATAAGCAGTTCTCTAAGCAAATATCTTGTGTTTTGATTCTGCACATCCTTATACAGTCGAAAAAAAAGTCTAGTTAAACTGATCATAGTGATCATATCCTGAATTCTGAACAGTTAGTTGGAACAGTTAGATCTGCAATAGCAAACTAAATTTCTCTTCCGTTAAACTTGATCAGCTGAGCAACAGTTTGGCTTCTCATTTAATCTCCTGAGCATGGGGCCCTCACCTCACAGCTGCGGTGTGCACTTCCTGTGGTGTCTCTAAGCGCTCTCTCTTAGTTTAAACCACCAGATAAACAGGCCAGCACTAGCCCCAGCTCATCACATCATGCCTAGACCAAGTGGTAGATGAGTGTTTTTTATAGATCTGTCAACAAGTCGCTATGTTCTCCCTGTATGGCCATCTTCCTGTTTCTGCTCATCGTATCAGACTTTCAACATTTAGGCCTCTAAGAGTTATGTGTGGTGCATTCACTGTACTTTGTGTTATATGGAATCTTGCCCCAAATAAACCTTTCCGTTACATAAGAGAGACCTTGATCATCAAACAAATATTTATTTAATATTTAACCTAAGGGTGATCCCACCTACAAAGAATTATGAGGACTTGATTTCTTAATTATCAGAAATACTCTGAGCAGCAGGTGGAAATTTAATCATAGCCTTTTGAAAAGTTTCCACAGATTTATGTTCTCTTTACCTGTACGTGTTTGTAGGATCAGCTGATGGTCTCTGTCAGAGGCTGGGAAGCCCCTGTAGGACTGTTGCTCCTCAACGGCCCTGGGCTCAGGATGAGTGGGAGATCCCTAGGGAAACGCTAAAGATGGTGAAGAGACTGGGTGCTGGGCAGTTTGGAGAAGTCTGGATGGGTAAGACTCATATGGCATTACCAGACTGATATGTATCTTAAAGTTTGTAGACACCTTCTTACGCAGTGTTTATCCTGAAAAACAAGGATATTAATTAGGGAATTGTTCCCCTTTTGCTGCAGCAGCAGCCTCCACTTTTTTTAGAAGGGTTTACACTTGAAGTTGGAACATTGCTGTGAGGGTTTGATTGCTTTCAACCCACAAGAGCAATAGTGAGGTCAGGTACTGATGTTGGATGTTCTGGATCACAAAGGCCAGCTCAGCCAAAAGGTGTTGGATGGTTCTCCATCACTCTAAAGAACAGTTCCACTGCTCTACAGACCAGAGCCAGGGGTTTTATACCATTCTAGCAGATGCAGCTGCACCAGAGTGTCCCATTCTATTGGCACTGCTTTTCTGTGGAGCTGTGTGTATGTGTGCAGTTGAACACCTGTGTCAGCAGTGGGTGCACCTTAAATTAACTGAACTCATGAATTAGAGTCAGTGCATGGATGCTTTACCAAAACAAAACGTATGCTAAAAATTTCAAAACTCTTTCTCAACTGACTGAATCTGCCTTTAAAGCAGATTAGTCAGGGGTTATAGTATATAGCATCTTACCAGAAAACCTAATCATTTCTTGTGACTAAATACTGCAACTGTACTGTGGGTGATGGTGGTGAGGCTTGGCATCACTCATGCTCTGACTTCTCACTATGTGTCATGGTTCATAATACCATGGTATTCTGAGGTTCAAGTGCCTCAAAAGCTTAGCTAAAAGATCTCTATGCAAACTGATCTTCAATCTAACTGTAAAGACTGTGTCTGTTTAGCATCACAGTATTAGCTATCAACTTTTAAAATATTTGTTTTAAGAAAGGACCACAATCAATGTCTGTCTCAAAATGTCATGCTAGAATAACTCAGCAGCCTAACCACTGAGCTAAAAATGCAACTAATCAGCAGGGGAAATACTAAAAATAATTCCTAGCAAACTTCACTCAAGCAGATGTAGAGCAGTTAATTTTAGACCACTTGAAAAAAAGGCTTTTTGTATCTTATTTTTCTACACAAGCAAAACTGTCGTGGCTGTGGGAATTTTTGACGATTATTGATAGATCCAGACTAGAAGCTGTGGTGATTACCAAAATCAAATGAAGTGTGTATGTAGAATCACAAGCATCACGTGAAAAACTTTCCTTCCACCATTGCTAGGCGTAGGCCAACTATTATAGCATGTTTGGCCAGTTTATCAGCTTATCACTTTTTCTACATGATTTTGTCATCATATTAAGTGTGCTTGACTGCACTATGGAGCTTTAGGCCCTCCTGCACTATGTAGCCCGTTCTGTGTGCTCATATTTTTCCTGTTTTCCTAGGCTACTATAAAAACAACCAAAAGGTGGCCATTAAGACTTTAAAAGAGGGCAGCATGGAGCCAGAGGCCTTCCTGCAGGAGGCTAACCTTATGAAGAAGCTTCAGCATGAGAGACTAGTGAAACTTCACGCTGTAGTCACCAAACAGCCCATCCTCATAGTCACAGAGTTCATGGCAAATGGTGAGTATGATTTCCGTCATCACTTGACGTTCTGAAAAGTACATTTTGAATGCGATTTGCCTGTAATTTCCATTATATACACACATATCGATGCTGTCATATCAATACCATGTGTCTTCATTCATTTTTATTTTGTGTGGACATTTCTCGACGAATGGAATGGTTAAAAATTATTTGAACTAAAATTCTTTTACATTAACATTCATTAAAAGTTAGGAATGTGTTTGCCTTCTCTTGTAAAGTCACCATTTATGAGGTAAATGGTTTTGTTAGGACAGCAGCAATATACAAAAATAATAAGTAGTAAAGAGTGGGGGTTGGTTGGCACAGTTTTCATTCTCTGCTGTGCATTAGGATAACTCAAAAGTGGCAAATGAAGGCTGAACATAATTCACGTTTTTACCGCTATTTACCTATATTGAACAATCATGATTCTTTTTTTCTATTTAGTGATCTAAACATTGTCTTGTTAAAATGTAATGCAAGTTAAAAGTTCAATATTTACAAATAACCAAAAGAAAAATCATCTTTAATACATAAATACGTTAAAATTAGGGTGTTTCAATCTTGAGACTCATTTATTATCAGAACCACTTTCTAATTTCATGCTAATTTAATATAAACAGTGATACAGGTAATAGTATGCATAATAGTATGAGTGTAGTATGTGCGCAGCTTTTGAGATAAAAAAGTATATGTTTGTGGCTATAGCCCTCTGATCAGACTGAAATATGTGCCAACCAACTACAAAATCAATGTGCCAACCAACCCCAACCACATCAGGCCACAGCTCTTTAATTTCTTCATGTTAGCTAGCTTGCTAGCATTACTTAGCACTGGCTTTTAAATAACTCAACAAAATATAGCAGATTGCAAAATAAAATGAATATATTGTCAATATTGTCAGCATCAGATTGTAATGTTTAGAGGTCTTGACAAAATTAATCAATGGTGGTCAAGAAGGCAATCATTTTTGTTATGTTTTTATAGGAGTTAACCCCTACTGACTCAGAAATGAACACTGTCCCACTACCAACTCCTTTCTCTCCTAATTATGGAGGGATTTATACAGATTAAAGCATGACTCATAATAAAGAAAATTATATATATATATTTTTTACGCAAATGCTTGACCATTAGTCAAGCATTTGATTTAATGTTTTAGCTTTAAAAAGTTAGTCAACTGGCTGCCTTAAAGTTAACTTCTAAAAGTAAGTTAAAACTATAATCAGTGCTTTACATTCTATTAACTTATCTTTTGAAGTTCAGTGAATTTTAAGGCAACCAGTTTACTTACTTAATTAATACATCAAATTATTTTTCACAGTTTAAGGACTTAAGGATAACATGGAAGCAACATAGCTGGCTTAGGAAGGGTAGATTGAATGATGCCCATTCAGAGCATTGCCTGTCACTGATTCATTTTTACTGGTTTCCTTTCAGGGAGTTTATTAGACTTTCTGAAAACCGATGATGGCAGGAAATTAAAGCTGCCCAAGTTAATAGACATGGCAGCTCAAGTAAGTGCAGCCTTGCTGTTCATCCTTGAAGTATGTATGAGCCACATTTTTATAAGTTTCCAGTCTGATGTGTTGTATAATATGGAAAGATATTTTTTTGTCACAGTCTATCAGATGGAATATTTAGACATCCTCTATGAATGTACTATTTTGAGAGAGAGTGTCTATCATAAAGTTGTGTGACAAAGGTAGCGGAAAAAAGTCAATGCTGTTCGCAGTTTGCGGTCAGGCTGTGAGCATCAGCCTCTCTCAACTTCTCCACAACTTGATTATTAACTTCCGGACAGGAAGTGATGTCACTTTTTCCATCTAACCCCCTCCCCCGAGACGGCATGCACTCCCTAATGTTGCTTGAGTGGCAATGTCCTGTTTAAACACTAATATGTGCACTGTGATGACTGAAAAAAGAAAATTATTAGGGACGTGTATAATTATAGCAGTTTTACATTTTGTTGTAGAATTAGTGTAGCAAGTGCAAATATACTATAAACCTCCTTCCTTTTCAGAAATATTGTGTTTAAAAGTTAAAATGTTTTAATCTGATAGACTATGTTTGTATGCGCATTTGTGTACAACTGTGTTTTGTTTATTCCTCTCTGTGGCAGATTGCAGAGGGCATGGCCTACATAGAGAGGAAGAACTACATTCATAGAGACCTTCGTGCTGCCAATATACTGGTGTCAGAAACACTGCACTGTAAGATAGCTGACTTTGGCCTGGCCAGGATTATAGAGTCTGAGTACACTGCACAAGAAGGTATGGAGCTTATATGTCCTGCATAGCATTGCTTTTTTAAATATAAAAACATCATGGTTAGTTGCATGTTAATTCTATGTTACACCGCTGTTAAAATGCTTCCATATAGCGGAGACCACTGAGGGTAGTAACACTGTGTCTCAGCCTCTGCAACTCAGTGGTTGTTTGCGCTGTATTTTTTCAACTTTGATATAAGATATACCCATATTTTCTGTTTCAAATGAGAGTAGTAAGTAAATGTTCCACTTACAAAATGAGAAAGCTGATGTCAAACACATAAAGTTTCATTGATGTAAAGCCTACCCACTATGCAGGTGGGTTAAAGGTGAATTCTATTCTTTTTTTTTACAATTTCTGCATAATTCAATAGTTGAGATGTAAACAAAATCATTCATAGTGGTTTGATGTGAAATGGTTAATTGAGAAGAAACTTACAGGCTCAGATTTCTTTACAGTGGTGGTGATAGGAACCAGGTGTCGCGATCTGTACAATGTAAATGTAGACAGTTTATTTACTATCCAAAAGGGCTGTTTTCATTCTCTGTTGTGCATTAGGATAACTCAAAAGCAGCAAATGAAGGCTGAACATCATTCATGTTGTGCACTTTTTTTTACCTTTATTAATCTATATTAAAGAATCACGCTTATTTTTTTTTATTTAGTAAATTTAACTTTGTCTTCTTAAAATGTAATGTAAGTTAAAATAAAATGTAAAAATTTCAAATAACAAAAAATCATCTTTAATACATAAATAGCTCTAAGCACATTTTAGGGTGTGTTTTCTTTGGGGTTTGTTTGTAACTATTCAGAAAGAAGCATGTTGGAATGTACCACTTTGAAAGGATGTTTTGCCATCCATCTAGTCATGGGTCAAACAATGGGATAAATGACATTGCTAGTTCTTCTTTTAGCATAGACACTTAAAACTACCATATATCAAATTAAAATAGAGAGAATACTGATTTACATTAGTGAGAAACAGTTAACCTCTATTAATATGAGCACTAACTAAACCCAGGCAATTGTACGCATATTTAATTTCTTATCTCAGAATTGTTTTTCGTGTTATGTAAATATATCAGTGTTTTGTACAAAGTGTTACTGTTTCTCCTGACAGCTCGCAAATGTGGTGGGCATGTCCAATAGTGATGCTTATTTCTGATTGCTGTAACTCTGGGTGTGATTTAGAAAAAACAAACCATTAACAGAATTTACATACTGTTATATATGGTGATATATTCTACATATATGGTGAATTGTTGACTGTTAGTTGTTATAGTTTCGAAAGTTAAAAAAAAAGTCATATTTGAAATATTGGGTAACTTTTTACATTATCTACATGTACATGAAGCACACATATCATTTACATGAACAGTGCAGTAATGCTCTACTGTAATTACGTAATCATTTTGAAACATTCATAAAATATATTCACTACAGCTGCACTGTGTAAGATTTGGGGATTTCCATCCCCCTGATGGAAATGTTCAATTATATGTAACGTGCGAAAGAACATTTTGTAACATCACTTGTGCTGTGGACCCCCACGCATGGATGAATCTGATGATTGCAAAGGAGTTGAAAGAGTATTCAAAAAGAGCTCGTCAAAACTTGTTGAAGGACATGTCTTCCGAGGATGTAAGAGAATTATCTGCTGCTGTCATTGTATCTCATCAGTATAATGTTGATTTTGCATTTGAGACCTGTTAGTTCTGTTTTAAGTAACAAGTATATAGTGTAATGGATTGAAAACACACTCAGTTGTGCTTAGTGTAAACTTCCTTATATGATTATGACTTTATTGTCAGGGAAAAACATGCTTCTTTATTGCTTCCATAATACTGTTCAAAAATCACGATTGATACAAAAATATTAACTCTTGATCATATTGATTATTCAAGAGGCTCTAAAACATGTATTTTATATTTTTAATAGTGATGACTTTACATGAACTACACAAAGTTAATACATGAAGCTTTACCAAATTTTCTGAATTTTTCAGGATGATCTTTACGACCAAGAGTTAATCAAACAATGCTCATCACATCATCACCACAGGTCACTCAGCACTGAGCACTTTCAATTCCTTACATTATATGTTTGTTACTTATTTCTGAATTTTTAATGCATGTTACTGTGCTGTTGAATTTGAATATGACGTAAATGCTTCATGGACATGTCGTTCCTGTAAAGCCATATCACTTATCTTCAGTATTATCACTGTCATCACACCAAAGTTGTGCTATGCAATTGTGCAATTTTAGAACATAAGCCTTCATATTTTTCATGTAAAATGTAATCGCAGTCTTTTACATGCAAGTACACAATCATTCCTTTATGTCATGTGCTTTTTTTTGGGTTTTCATTTTGATTAGGTGCAAAATTCCCAATTAAGTGGACAGCCCCTGAAGCCATCAATTTCGGCACCTTCAGCATCAAGTCAGATGTGTGGTCCTTTGGTGTTCTCCTGACAGAGATTGTGACATATGGAAGAGTACCATATCCAGGTAAAACTGAATGCCTCACAATAAGAATAAAAAAAAAATAAGTTAAAAAAACCTAAATAAATAGATTTTGTTTATAATTCATTTTCAATAACCCAAGCCCACAAAAATATGATACACAATGCAAAAGTCTCACAAATATATGGGCAGTAAATAAAGAGATCGAACTGGAAAGGAAGTTATGAAGAAAATCATAAAAAACAAAATATGCTGGTACCATGTTTTAGTAAATCATTAGCTAAATACTAAGCCTTTTTGTGATGAGCTTGATAGTCTTGATATTACTAGAAATTACTGTTTACTTTAACCTCTTTCTGCAGGCCCCCTAATGGCCACTCTGCTAGCAGAATGGGAATAAACTAGTTCTGTAATTCATATAATTATGCTAATTAATTGCAAAAAAATGAAATATATTTTCCCCAAAACTTTGTTATGAGATTAATTAAGACAATGTTTTTTTGGCTGTGTGTAAAATGTGACTGCTGTAATTCCCCGCACAGATGGCCATGCTGAGATAAAATGGCCCACAAAAGACTTCCCTTGTCATACACTTTTAAAAATAACTTAAAGATGAAGAAGGATTCTTTGGAGCAATAACGTGCTAGAACCACTGAAGTTTTTGGGATTTAAAGTAATACTTCAACGTTTTTCAACCTCATCTTTCTATACGATTTTTTAGCGTATTCAATTAGCATGGCCAAGGATTTCAATGCTATCCCTTGTACTTGAACTGAAAACCCACTGATTGGAAATACATATATAGTAGAAGCCATTGGAACCCACTGTTTTACATCCTCATCACATTGGCAAAAGGCTCTGTTTTTAAAGGTTCTTTGAGAAACCATGTGTGTTACTTCTATGACATTGTTTCAAAGAAACTGAAGTCTCACTTCACTACCGAAACACAGAGAGCTGTAGTCAATAGGCAGAGCCTTACTTTAGCTACACCTCTACATTTTAGACCAGGAATTGAGTCTAAAGTTCAAGTCATTTAAAAGTCCAAAACATGTTTTCAACACTTTAAACCTATTTGAACCAAGTTGGTAGAATGGTCCATATACCTACTACCCACAACCTGGAACAGCTTGCCTAAGCTTTCAACTTCCCACATAACCCACCTATGTTTTGCTACAGGCATGACGAATCCGGAAGTGATCCGTCACCTGGACAGGATGTACAGGATGCCATGTCCGGATGACTGCCCTGATGAGCTGTATGACATCATGCTGACGTGCTGGAGAGAGAAACCAGAGGAAAGACCCACATTTGAGTATCTGCAGGACACACTTAATGACTTCTACATTGCTACCGAGGGCCAGTACGAAATGCAGCCTTAGGCTTCACATACCCCAAAAACAGACTACTGAATGGATGGACATACGTAAGGATATGAGGGGTAGTGGACAGTGAAGTAAAACGATATATGGACACAACACATGACAGTTGTAAGGTGCAAATGGGGAAAATACTCCCTGTAACTGGACCCATTCATGGATTTTATGACCACTCCTCAACTAATTGCTGTTCATCCCTGAATTTCTATGGAAAACCACTGACCACGTCTTGGATGAATGTAGTTGTGGTGACTTGTGGTACATTTAAGCTAATAAGCAATTACATTGCAAATTTAGCAATGTACAGCACAAATCATTAAAGGGGAATTTGCAAATGTTTCCAAATTTCTGCATAATTCAAATGTTGAGATGTAAAGTAATTCATTTTAAATGGTTTGATGTGAAACGGTTTATTGTAGAGAAACTTACCAACTCAGATTTCTTTACAAAGGTGGTGATAAGAACCAGACGTCACATCTGCAATGCAACTATAACCATTTCTTTACTATCCAAAGTGACCAGTAAACAAATAAGTGTCTTATGTAATTGATATGTATGTGTTTATATGTAATTGACAATGGTAAAACAGTGGTAAGTCAGTTTTCCTTGAGTGCTGTGCAATGGATGTCTTAGACCTTGTGCAACATTTTTGCATTTGTATTTTGTGTAATAACTTTCTGTGATGTAGGTTTTAAAGGCAGTACATGTTTCAGACGTCTGGTTCCTATCACCACCACTGTGAACAATTCTGACTCTAGAATGGAGCGTTTCACATCAAAATAGTCTGACCTTGTTTATATCTCGAAGACTTAATTCTACAGGCTAATTGAAAACATAAGTGTAAGTCCCTTTAAGAGAAAAGGTGCAACACCCTCTACCACATAATAATATAAAAAAAATCATTAAATCTCATGACATTTCACATACTGCCATGTGGTGGAGTGAGTGTTTACACCTTTTTTCCTAATAGGATTTTTTTGCCTAAAGTTGGTTGAAGCGCCTTCTTTTTCTTTTAGCGCATGAAATACAGCCTTGAGTGACCAAATCATTTATGGCATCTACCTATTGGCTGATATTTAATGTGTGTATCTGACCTGCGTAACTGCACAACTCTTGGCACCCTCCAGAAAAGGGTTCAGTCCCTTTCATTAATAACCTGATAGCATGACCAATCAAAGCACTGACTTTTTCCCCTTCAAGAACCTCTGATCCAGTACCATGTGTAGCAGTGCAGATAAAAGGAGGAGACCCCAATTATCAATGATGCTACAGCAAGGATGAAAAAGAGGGACCTGGTGTAAAATTAAGATCATATTCGGTTTTTTATCTTTGTTATAACTGAAACCTGAGAATTTGTATATTTCATTTCCCAAAAAATATTTGTTATGTGTTTTGTTGATTAAAATTTTTTTTTTTTCACTAAATTATATTTTATATATTTATATTTATACATTAAATAATCACTAACACCAGGTTCGAAAATAGAACCCACAACAGAGCCAATTTTCTGGGAATTTGTAATGTAGCTTCGACATCTATTGTATCTTGGAAAATGACTCTGACATTTCCATGTATGTTTACAAGAATGCAGCTATAGTCGTATGCAAAAGTTTGAGCACTGGGCAAATTTTGTTGATTTTCCAAGTGAAAATTATTTAGCACTTTCTTTATAGAGAACAAGTAGGTTATGTGCTGAGGTTAATATATCGAAAAAAATAAACATAAAATGCGCCATAACTTTTGCACAAGCCACATTTTGTGTTTTATTTTTTCCCCAATATGTTAAATTCAGCAAGTAGACAGTAATTGTGCCTAAAAATGTGCAGAAGTGTGTTCTCTGTAGAGGATGTGTTACTGTAACTTAGAAAATCAACAGAACGTCATTTTACCAGGGGCGCCTGGTATACCAAACTTACTGACTGAATATCTTTAACACTTTATTCACCTAAAAAGTAAAGGTGCCAGAAAGAGTTCTTAGGAGCGACATCATAGAGAAACCACTTTTAGCTTTCTAAAGAATCTTTCTATCTTTTATGAGCCATTTTTGTAAGTGAAATTGTGAACAACCTTTTTAAAGTCTAAAAAAAAAACAATAGAAATGTAAAAGTTCTATACAAAGTGATGTTTTTTCCAGTCTAAGCCAAGAACCAGTTTGAAACCTTTATGTTTAAGAATGTCTAGCTGGATGAGAGATCATTATGAAACAGAATTAGTCTAGTCTTGGATTTCTGGGTAGCCATAAAGGCAGGAAGAAATGTCGGTCAAATTAGCGCTCAAGGCACACCTACAGCGCCCCTCCCTTCTCTCTCTCCCTCAGAGTTCCCCATGAGGCTGAAACATGTTTGCAGATAAGCGAGCAAAAATGACACCAACACCCAAGAGCCAGTCCAGAGGTTTCCTGCTCAGCCGAAACAGGAAGCAATGAGTAAGCATTCCTCTCATACCACTGTGAGAGAGCACACTCGCTCATCAACGATAAGAGCTGCCCAGCATGGAATTCCAAACAGCCTTAAACAGAAGTTGAGGTACATTTAAGAGAATGTTTCCAAGAATGCTCACAATGTTGAAATGTCTGCACTGTGTTGTAATGATCAGGCCCAGGTCATAGTTATAGCCCCCTGGGTGCAAATGGTTGGCGGGCCCCTACCTGAGCTGCATGATTTTTTTTTTTCCTACTAAGCTACTAAGCTGCTTAGGCTGGGGCTTGCGGTATACAGGCTGTGTTCAAAATAGCCTACCACACACTGCTCATGCTCTGATTCCGCCCAAAAGTGGTAAGTACACTCTCAAAAAAGATGGTTTATCAAGGGTTCTTTAGTAAAGAAAATGGTTCTATATAGAACCATGAGTACTCCAAGAACTCTTTGCATAATTAAAGGGTTCTTTGCATCATGAAAGCGTTCTTAAAATTGATGGAGAATGTGCTATATATGGTTCTATATAGAATCTTTTTGAAAAGGGTTATATAGCACCAAAAAGGGTTTTTCTACTGTTACAGGCTTGACATTGTTACAATAGAAGAACGTTTTTTGGTGCTATATAGAACCCTTTTCAAAAAGGCTCAATTTAGAACCATATAAAATACACTCTCCAACAGTCTGAAGAATGCTTTCACAATGCATTTTATCTATTTAAGTAACTTACTGTGTAAATAACGTAGTAAAAATAGTATACAGAACAATATGCCATTTCGAATACAGCCTATATCTATGTAAGAGTCTAGAAAGCTGTTTAAATTTTGCTCATGGGGGCACCCTAGTGGCTTGGGCCCCTGGACACTCGCCCACAAAACCCATTGGATGATCAGGGCCTAGAAATGATGTTTGAAGGATATACGCATTTATGAGGGTGCAGTACTTGCTTATAAAGATGTTAATCACAGTATGAGTGTTTGTGTAACTAAGCAATGTATTCCAATTCATATATTTTTGTATCCATTCTTTTAAGCCAGCTGTATCTGTGGTTTCAAACATTTCAGGCAGTGTTTGGACAAGTAGACAAATTAATTTCCCCACCAGTCGGGCCAAAGCCCAGCTCTAATGAATTATTACCCTGAGTGCATTCCACTGTCATACTTGTTAATGATGCCACTTAATCTACTTTTGTCAGTAAGGAAAATGTTGGGCCTCAGCTTTGCACAGCAACGCTTCCTGACTGAAGTAAGATTAAACCAGGCACAGATAAATGCATCACCACTTTAGCGTATGTGCGTATTTGTTTATTTGTGTGTGTGTGTATGTGTGTTCCTCGATGTTCTCCCGGATAAGATGAATAGAGGGGTGAGTGCACTCAGTAAACCTACTGCATGTGCCAGCTCTCTGATTACTGAGCTGATATACGCTGTATGTTCCCCAGGCCAATTATTCTAATGCATCCTCACACATTGCTTATCTGTAAAATCTCACCCAATTATAATGATTACAGGGAAGCATCTTCTCTGAAATATATACAATGACCAGTGCTTTGATTTAAGCATCCGGGTATGATTTTCCCAAAAAGTTCAAGAAACCCTCATTTGCATTGCATTCCATCCAGACTAAAGTATCCATTATTCATTATTCCTTCTGAAGAAAAGTAAGTGGATGCAGAATTTTGAAGCCAATCTTTAACTCCTTAAACCCTAATGGCCTGTATGTGGGACCACTTCAATTCCTCACTTTCATAACTAAATAATACATTAGTTTCATAGTAGCAACCAAATAATTCATGCATCACTGCATAATAAGACTTTCTGCATAATTCTGCATAATTCAGTTGTTGAGATGTAAACAAAGTCATCTAGAGTGGTTTGTTGTGAAATAGTGCATTGTAGAGAAATTTAACAACTTACCTATTTACATGATTTTCCTATAGTGGTGGTGATAGGATGGTGATGTGTAAACCCAAATACAACCATTTTATTTACTTTCCAAAACAATTTGTGGGCCTACATGTGTCTTCTGAGTTTTTATATGTAATAGTGATGATGAAATATTGATAAATCTGAAAATACATTTTCTTTGGGGACTATTTTGCCTTACAACCCCCGGCATGTACCTCTCCACCATAAATGAAAAAAAAAGTATATTAAAAAAAATGTTTTAGGCCAAAAGCTTATCTCAAAACCATACTAAAATAATGTCTCACGCATCAGGTAATGTATTCATGTCCAATTCATAAAATCATTTTTGGGTGTTGGTTATAACTCCTCTTACAAATTTTCCCAGGTATTGTAGCTCTATAGAACCAGGTAGGCCTCTGTCACCACTCACATTTATATGTTTCTACAGAACTCAGTCTTTCTGTTTGTTGGTCATTTATTAGAATGTTTTCCTTTTTATCTTATCATAAACAAAAACAAATATGGCAGCTGTTGAGATAGACACTCATCGCCTTCAAGTCTAAATGAAACACTGTTTAAGAATTATTCTATATTTATTTCAGAAATGATTTTGTATGTGTGTCCTTCTAGAAGGTCACTCTTATAAAAGGTGAAAAAGGAAATAGTAGATATTCATTTCTACATTCATAAATGTTAAAAAATATTATTGTCCAGTAATCCGGACATTTGGACTCAGTGTAGTAAATTATACTTTGATTAATTTAATAGACTCAAGCATTACAAAAATTAATCATTCAAGTTTTTTGTGTTTTAAGTGGAATCTTTTGTTGATTTAGGAGTGACAGCAGAAGATGTTCTATGAATTTGGGTATAATATTTTTAGTGATTTCAATGGATTTCACTGTCCAGTATAATGGCCAATGAAATTCTGTATATAAAATGTACAAGATTTTGAAAAATGAACATATTTATTATCATCAGGATAACAGACTCAAACAAAAAAAATCAACATTTCCTGGAATGTTATTTCTGTCTACAACACTGGGCTAGGATATAAAATGTATATAATAAGTGTAAATCTATTATAAATTTACATAATGTATAACAAAGCTTGTGTAATGTTTGCAGACTTTTTTTTTTCATCAGTGCCCTCAATTGTTTAATCCATTTGCTGATTTTAGATATAGTAATGTAAATCAGCATATTATTATGAGACAAAAGTATCATGAAAATAAATATTTTAGGACCCATTCATGTGAATGTCTAGGTAGTTCCAAAGGTTCAGAAACTATTTTATGCTACTATACATACAGTAAACACAGAAAAAGTGGAGTGCTTGCTTTATGTCTTATTACGTTGGTGATAATAAATGTAAATTTTTCAAAAACTCTTGCATTTCATATGTTTAAGTCCAAATGTCCAGTAAATTGGACACAGAATACTATGTTTCCTAGTAAACAAACAAACAATAAAATATTCACATATTATGTTGTTGAGTATGCAGCAAAAAGCATGTTTCATAACAAAACAGTGTTTTTAAAGTGTCAAGCCTCGGGACTGAGGACGCTATGTCTTAAATCACCACCACTGTAATCAATTCTGACTCAGTAAGTTCCTTTACAGTGCACCATTTCACATCAAACTTTGTTCACATCTTCATAAGTTATTCAGAAACTTTCAGAATGACATCTTCTAGTCAGATGACCTCTACAAAGAACACACCTCCACATCATTTTAATGCTCTATTACTGTTTATTTGCTGAATCTAGCATATTGGAATCTGCCATTTTACATTTTTCCAGTCTGTTAAAAAATATAAAACATTGTTCACTACAATTTAAGGAAAAAATGCCATAGTGTGTTCTCTGTAGAGGAAGTGTTACAAAAACAAAACAAAAACATGTTATTTGACCTGCATGGGCATAGCTAGGCCAGTTTTAGGAGGATTTTAACACCCCCTGCCCCCCGGTGTACCTTCCTAAATAATGTATATTACTAGTTCAAATAATGTATAGTTTATTCTCTATCACAATAGCTGTTGAGCT